TCCACAGGATGCTGATTTACTCCTGAGTTGTGCCAAGGATAACAGAATATTGTGTTGGAACCCCAATTCAAATGCATTGGTAATGTTTTGAATATACATTACAATAAATTAGTGGAATTTTAAGTATTATCATTTTTTAATGACAGAATGGTGAGGTGATATGTGAATTAGCCCAAACAGCTCAATGGAACTTTGATGTGTCTTGGTGCCCAAGGAATCCAGGTTTAATTGTTGGCAGTAGCTTTGATGGGCATGCTGTTGTTTATTCTTTATTAGGTGGACAACAGCAAGAAACATCTAACAAAATAGGGGATTCATTCCCAGGAATAGATCCTTTCACCCAATCTACAATACAGACAGGAACAACAGCAGTATTAACAAAAGCTCCAAAATGGTTAAAAAGGCCGTTTGGAGCATCATTTGGAGTAAGTTTTTAATTCTGCTTTATACCGTATAATTTATTATATTAAACAAAGAATAAAGTATAATTATTTAATATAAAAATATGATTTTCAGTTTGGTGGTAAATTAGTGATTTTCGAGAATCAGCCTGCTGATCCGAACCTAGTAAACAAAAAAGCGAATAGGAAAGTTATTATATCACAAGTAATTGTACAACCTAATCTTATTCAACGTTCTAACAAATTAAAAACAACACTGGAAACTGAGCAATTCAACGAGTTTTGTAAAGAAAAGATGGATAAGTCTCCAGATGAACATACCAAAAAAGTCTGGAAATGTGTAGGTGCTTACTTTGATGAAAATGTGACAAAAAGTATATTGGAGATATTGGGCTACAATACTGAGACAATGAATAATAAGCTGAATCAGTTTGTGCCTCAAGATGATATAAACAACATTATAGAAGGTGTCTCTAATCTCAATAATGTAAGATTTTAACTGATATTTACATCGTACTTTTTCTAGACATTGTTTTAACTTTATATATATTTTTTATTCGATTTAGGTAATAAATGGAAATGTTATGGTCGGTAGTACTGTATTTGATACTATAGCACAAGAGCAAAACAAAAAAGTATCGTCAAATGCAGATAGTAATTATATCATAAATACTTCAGATGGTAATTAACACATATTAATAATATTATTACTGTAGTAAAACAAATTTATAAAAGATTTACATTTGCATTGTATTTTTAGATGAAGATGGTCTTATCACTCAAGCCATCCTCTTAGGAAATATTGAAGCCGCTGTATCTTTATGTTTTGCTAGTAAAAGGTACGCCGACGCTATAATTCTTTCGATGGCCGCTGGTCCCGAACTACTAGCACGTACCCAATATAGGTACTTTTTAGAGCACTCTAGTGCATTAAATTCTCTCATCAATTCATTAGTTAGTGAAAATTGGACAGAGGTTGTTAAGAACAGTGATATAAAATGTTGGAAGGAAGCATTAGTTGGTATATTTACACATTCCACTACACAGGAACGATCCATCTTGTGCGGTAAGTATTACAGAAATATTACAGAAATAATTTATTATAATCGCTTACTGTTCTCATATATTCACAATATGAATTGTGTATAACAGATATGCTTGGCGATCGCTTGATGTCATGCGAAAATCCCATTCTTAAAAAACAAGCACAAATTTGTTACATTTGCTCCGGTAATTTGAATAAACTGATTGAAGTGTCCGATGGTGATATTCAAGAAATGGTAGAATTAGTAGTAATAATGCAGAAAGCTTTGGAACTTCAAGGTATCAGGGAAGTTCAGCTAGAAGACAAAATTGCTACAGTGCTGTCTCAATACGCTGAGATGCTGGCAGCAGAAGGCGATCTAGAGGCTGCCTTAAATTATCTTGGAAATAGTCAAGATCAAAGAGTTTCAATGCTGAGAGATCGTTTATGCAAAGCTTTAAATTACATGCAAGAACAGAGGCATGTTACAAAACCTGCAACTCAGAATTACTATTATGAACAGACACGAAGAGTGTCACAAGGCCCATGTAATCCACTGCAGCAACCATTACAGCAAACAACACCGGTACAAAACTGGAACACAAATCCACTGAAACAATCTTACGGAGTTCCTACAAATCAGTTTAACACACAGCCATCTCAGTTATATGGAATGCCTCCTCCTCCTCCTCCTCAATCTCAAGTGCAATCTACAATTTACGATCAATATTCTACATCACACCCGTACAATCAAATCCCACTGCAGCCTCCTATAGCGCAACCTCTTCCTCCGCCTCCACCAACATCTGGTTCTAATTTGAGTGGCTCGAGACCGTCCAGTGTCGGACCACAATCGAGAACAAAATATCTGATAGATCCATCTGTAAAATCCACTCCGTCATATGGTCAGAATACTTTCCCGTCACCAAATCCATTATATAATTCTCAGCAAATCTCACCTGTCCCTGGCTATCCTCAGCAAAATTCATATCAACCTCAGATTCCTGTACCGAGTAACGTTTATCCCAACCAACCGCCAAATTTTATGAATAATCCTAAAGAACCAGAACCATATAAGCCGCCTCAACCAAGCATAATGTCGCCATTGCAAAATGCGCCACAAACTCAAATGTACGATCCTATTAGATCCCAACCTACTTCACAAATGCAGACATATGGGAACGAAAATACGTATCAATTACCGCCGCAACCGTCTGGATGGAACGATCCACCTATTGCAAAAAGTTCCAGAACACAGGTAAATTATCTCGAGTTTATTCAATTCCATTGCTCAGTTCCGATTAGTCGTCCCTATTCACGTTATTTCCTTGTCTTTCGTTTGGCTAAATCTCTTACCTTTAGATACTGATATATGTATATATTAAAATCATATAGCCAGTACTGGCACTATACAACGAAATGTCTGCGGAACATTCTGGTACTAAGAAGTGGAAGGCAAAACATTCAAAGGGTGTAGACGTTAAGGTAGTCGGCTTCACATGTCGAGAATGCTATATCTATAATGTTTCATATTATCGTAGAACATATTGTTATTGTTAGTGTTACCTACTTCCATACTTTTAATAGAATTAATCTGATTATAATGTAATCTTTTTATATTTGTGTGATATGAACTAATAAGCGTGTTATATATAAAAAAAGTTCAAACTGCTTTGCATTTTGAAACTGATTTCATGCAGATTATTGTTATTTATATCTTATGCGTCATAAATTTTATAAGTGTAAAAAATTTTTTCATAATTTAATTGTGTTATAATCACTTTAAGTATTGAGGTGAATTAGTGGAGCTTTGTTGTCTGAAAGCTTTCATGGTGTTATAGACGCGTTATCAATCACCACTGTAAAGTGGCTGAAAAGTCTATATTAAGAATGCATCGTTAAGAATAAATTATTTATATTTTTCAGCTGAAGACGGATTATCAATCACAAAATCCAATAATGCATCCATTGCAAACTAATCAACCAGAACCAAGTGTAAGCCCTACATATAATTTTTAATCGTATTGAACATTTTATGGTCGATTTTCACTTAATATTTTGTACATGTATTTATATGCCCGCATTTATATGTATTTATATTTTGTCAACTTTTTTAGCCATTACCTCAGGACAATTTCTATCAAGAACCTCCTACAGTTTATAATCCACAATTCAGGCAAGGTGTGTCGAATCCGGTACCACTTAACAAACCAATTGAACCATTACAATCTGTAATGCCAGCACAGATTGCGGAACCTGAGAAACCTAAAGCACCTATACCCGAGCAACATATACATTTAAAAACGATATTGGATGAATTAAAGAATCAATGCTATGAAAATGCAAAGAATCCGGTAAATACTCATTTTTTAACATATATGTAACAATACCTATATATTACTATATGTTTACATTTTTTAAAGCCATACATGTTCAAGTTAATATAAAATATTTGTATTTGCATTATTTTTCTAGCAAATCAAAAGGAAGATAGAAGATGTGTCAAAAAAATTGGAAGTGCTATACGATTGCCTTAGAGAAAATAAGGTGAGTCAGTTGTAATATTATTGCACATTATGTATATGTAATACAAATTCTTTTTTTCAGTTATCTCAAAATACATTGCAAGGTTTACATCAAATATCACAGATGATTCAAAATGGCAATTATACAGGCGGACTAGACTTACATATACAATTAGTATCAGGACCAGATTTTAGTCAAATAGCTTCCTTTATGCCTGGGATAAAAGTACTACTTCTAAGTGCCCTTCAATTGAGCGTTTACATTAGATAGAATGCCCAAAAATCTAAATTGTTCATATATATTCATTATGAATTTTTATAATTGCAAACAGCCTTAATGAGAGGATTATTTGTTATATTAACTTTGTATAACATCGATAGTAAATAATCAATAATGTAGCATATTATATATATCTATAATCAATTTACTTATTATTTGCTAATCAAATTTTACATATTCTGTCTCGAAAATTATATTTTATCAGTTCTCAGGGTAATTTTACATTATTTTGTTGATTATTAATCCTATTAAAGATATATATATATATATATTATATATATATAAGGAAATGAAATATTTACACACACTCACAGACAGCGAAAACGTCCATATAAGAAATCTACAGGCAAAATGTTAAAAAAAAACTTCGTTTTAATCATTTGTATATATAATTATAACATTAAAATCTTATATGAGAAAATTAAACATGTTTTTCATAAATCTTAAAACATTGATTTCCGCTTTGTGTTTACTATATACTTAATATGTAAAATAGGATTTTGCAAGAAATAAAAGTTATATGTTCTTTAATTGTATATTATATTTCTAATTTGTGTATGTTATATTTTATAAAATCTTTATAAAAATAATTTATAAACTGTCACATAATTATTCTTGTTAAATCAAAACAATCAAAATTGTGTTATAGATGTTTGGAAACTTGTTTATTATAAAAAAAATGTGTACAAGTTATGACTATAAAAATGTATGATGAAATTTCAAATTGATTAAATGAATAAATTTATTTTAAGTCTCACTTGTAGTCATAATTTGTTTGGAATAAAAGCCGGCCATACATGTTCAAATAAACTTATCAAGTATATATGCGCAAGCCACTTGTACAAGTTCATTGGAGCGTGTGTGTAACAAAACTACAGTTATTTTGCACAAGTGACTGGAGCAAATATGAAAATTCACTCGATACTTGCGCAAAACTGACTTACGAAGTAAATCGGAATGTGTCTAGCGACGTTGCACGTTTGGTTGTAACTAAAGACTGAAATCTAATCAGAATGTCTGTTCACACATTGCTTGCACTTTTTGTACTCAGCATCTCCGCTTCCTTCAACATTCGAATGTACATTTAGCCCATTTTTAATGCAAAAATGCTCGATAATGATATTATGTGATCTATGTATACTATGTCTAGTTTGCACAAGCATGCTCGTTCAAATTTATTGGAGCGTTTGTATGACAAAACTGCTTGTTATCGCAAATCAGTACACTGTGGCCGGCCTAAGCTATGCAGAATGACGTTTTGTTCATTAATAATAAATTTCTCTAACAGTTCATCTAAATATACAGTACCGTCCCGTGCGGCTTGTTGACGCATGGCTTGCTTAAATTCCTCACGTACTCCTTTATCAGCACCACGAGTAGTGACACGGCGATCTAGAATGATTCTTATATAATTTTTTTATTTCTACAACATATAATGGTACACTATATTAAAGAATGTTATATATACTTTGTATAATCGCCATTCCTGTTGTTATGTCTAATGATACTCCTCCGCCATGATCAGACCATAAATACGTTAATTCTTCTAAGATATCTATACATATTATGTATGATTGGAATAATGGATAAATAAAACTTCCACGATTGAGAATTCGTTCTGTTATTGTAGTTAAAAGATTAGCTTCTTGCGGCCAATCTATCTGTATAAGGACCAATGCATGTCCAATAGACAAGTCTCCAATATTTCCAGGTGAAGAAAAATTTTCCTAAAGTCAAATCAATCATATATTTCAATGTAAAAGGATTAAAAAAAATTATTACCTTTATAGCTAAAAGAAGCAATTTACAACAATATTGTAAAATAGGAAAACGAGCAAGAGTCAAATAATGTAAGTGTCTGGTGCTTGGAACTGTCAGAGTGTGAGATATTTTGCCTGCTGTAGTAGGTAACGAGTTTGTTACTACAACAATATATTCCAACATAGCCTAGAAGAAAAATTATAATAGTTTTAGTGAAAAAAATATACACTATATAATTAAGCTTAAGATCTGACTTATAAGAAGCTATATAATTAAGATTTAATGAAAATATAATCATAGCACACCTGGTAATCTTTCAAAAAGAAACTTGTACAGGCCAAACGAATATTAGTAGATAAAGTATTCCCTTCTAATAATCTAGCCCTTACTTCATGATGTAAACCTTTATATATTGCTAAATCTGTTAAGAATAGATTCAGCCAATTATCTAACCGCAATTGTTGATTCAATTTAGTTATTTCTCTTTGAAGATAGTCACTACTATGTAATAAATCCCACAACTTTACTGCCAATGCTAAGCCACTGCCATTGTAATCGCTGTCACTAGTTATTACTACGCCAGCATTGTCATCTCGCTTTCGCTTTTTCAATTTAGATTCTGGTTCAGAGAGTTTAAGGTATAAGTACAAAAATGAATTGTCCAATAATCATGAATATAACATCTCACCTGCAGAATATACTTCTTCTCCAAAAGCCTCTACAAGACAATACACTGTTTCTTCGTTGTTAATGAGAGCGTTATGCTCGTTCAATATTCTCAATAATACTACAATTGTGCACATTAGTAATTGCCTGACAATAGGCTCGTCGCACAGACCAGTGCTGTGTACAATTGCATACTGCTGTAGCCTATCACTGTATGTTTCACGATTCCAAGGCATAGCGAATAAACTGCTCAATTCCCACCCTAATTTCTTACCTATCAGTTCCATAATTTGGAAAAGTCTATCCCATGGATTTTGAATTTGCGTATCTTGTGGCTGCTGTATGTATGCTAAGTAAAATTCTACAGCCTTGCATAACAATCGTAAGCTAAGACGAGGATTTAATTCCACTACAGTATCACCAAGCAGTGGTAATGTTTCGCATGCCAATAATCTTCTAAAACCATTCACAGCTCGGCCTGGATGACTGTGTTTCTCCGCAGTTAATAAAGTTTCCACCAAACGTGGCTAAAGCAATAATGCAAATAAACATCTTATAAAAATTAAGTATCTTTTGTTCATATTTTGAGATACATACTCCATAAGTTGCTATGGTTTGAGGAAACTTGCGTAGTAATAATAGCAATAATTTACAATGTTCCATTGTATCTTCGCTATGATCTGCTGTCATTACAAGCAACCTATGTTGTAAATCCTGTGGGATGTGTTGGAACATTTGGCACAAAAATTCAGCTTCGCTATCACACTGTTCTAAGCGAAGACACGTTGTCATTGTTTCTATCTCTTTCCATATATCGCGATCATCCGGAAAATTTTGAAATCTGTGCTTACATTTAAGAAAAGATTAAAAGAAGGTAAAAATGTAAAGTACTTATATAAATAATATATCAATTATTATATTAAATATAAATTTATATAAAGTACACATATATTTCAATAGTGATTGGTTCTCACATCTCGCTAAAGCATTTTGCTGCCTCTTTTACATTCTTTGACAGTTTCTCGATACGATATGCCTCAAACTGAAAAGTGGAAAAGTAGAAAAGATTGAACATCACTAGCCTATATGATTTTATAAACTTTAATTCAAAACTAATAACTCCAAATTATGGACGATACTTCTTGGAATAAATTAATTACTTCACTCGCATAAAAACAAGTAAAGAAGAAATATATAAAGTAAATATACAAAATAAAGAAAAGTGTATATATATAATAACAACTCAGAACTAACCTGAACTTTTGCACTATGCGGAAATAAAGATCTGGCGGTGATCAACCAGGATTTAGCGGCATAAATATCGCCCGGCAATGCTTTCTTAGCTCTCATTATTAAATAATCTTCTTTGGATAACTGATTATCCGTACCGGACGGTTTTTCCAACATAATGTAATATTATATATAGTAACTTCGACGTGCACATAAATATATAATTCGTATAGTCGCAAATGACACAACCACACCGTTCAGTGTATTATATAGTTTGTTTTTTTATTCCTGCACTACACTGCACTGCTAGAACTTTCTTTCTCGCTTTTATTAAATATAAAAAATATACCTATCTCACTTTAAGTTCTAAAAGTGTACACTAGTTCAGACATAAAACAAACCCCGCATTTCAGTATGTGTGTGTGTGTGTGTACGTTTCCCCGTAATATTTATAAATGCATATTAAACTATGATAGCAGTAGAATTTAAATGATTTATCAGAGATAAAACTCAGTTTTATCAACATAATTATATTTAGACATCTGTGTTTATCAGCAATTACTTATTGATTACGAACACCAAATAATACCTGCTGTTGTTAATTCGTAATTCCTTTAAAAATTCAGAGAGAAATCTGAAAGAGGTCATCCCGACGTTTTTCGACGTTCTATTTCGAAGAACTATCGAAATAGAGCCTCGTTATTTTCGATTTGGAAACAATATCTATATTGGTGATAAAATCACGATGTTAAAAATATATGTGATGCGAATCCATATTAAATTAACGTTGAAATGAATGTACGATGTTGAAATGATGCTAATCCGTTCATTGCGGGTTTTAATTCGTTTTTGTGAATCGTGAACTCGTACCTATAAATGTTCCAGATTCGAAAAAGAATTTTTTTTAATTTAGTAATATGTCGTATTGTAGTTCCTGAGAGACACGAGCCTTTTAACCTACATAATACATAATAGAGAATCTATCTGAAGTAGATTTCAAGTATTGGAAAATATAGGGTGAGTGAAAGATTTACAAAAACCCATAAACATAAGAATACAAAATTAAAGACAATCTCAAGTATGTATTATTAATTTAAGGGTGGAAAGATATAAATAAGTCTAATGAAACATCTGAATGATAGTACGAATACATACATTACATAAGATGCATGTTAATGAAGTAGCCATCAGTTACCGCGTGGAAAGGACAAAGAGATTATCTATGCCGCAAATGGCAAATCATGGTAATCCAAAATTTACTGCCAGTATTAAAAATCTATAATGCACATAACGAGAAGTATAGATTTTTGCATTTATACTAGCAGTAAACTTTAGAATGGCCTATCCTCACATCACCACTTTTCTGCAAATCCCATATCGATACAAACACACACCCCAAGGTGCGAAACTCGAAAACAAATTTTTTTTAATGTGCAGCGTTTATATACTATATCCGAAAGCTAGCCCCATCCAATGAGCGCTCGAATACTTCGAGCCAACGAGGCATGCGCTCATTGGCTGGCGCGCGAGTGGTGGGGATCGCGGTCTTACCGTTTTATATAAATAGCGTGTTAAGGCGCAATTTTACGCCTTTGCGATTTTTGCGTCGATTGGTATGGTGGTACATCGTGTCGCGTTGCGCGGGAGAATGCAACCCTTACCCAGTGAGAAATTGCGATGAAATCGATATCGAATCGATGTCGATTTGACGCTTTCGACGTTGAATCGACATCTATTCGATTATCATTTTTCACTGGATTAGTTTAGTTTTCGCACTCTTCGCCATCAGATCAGCTTCGCCATCTTCGGACATGACCTTTCCTACATCTCCACTGATCTCGATCCAAAACCGAAGTATCCTGATCACTTCAAAGAATCTTTATTGGAAAATAGAACGATTGAGAAACGACTCGACAGGATCGTTGGATTCACCAACGAGGTATTCAATAATTAATGAATATTATTAAATTGTTACTGTTTACATACGCGACGTTGAAATATTGTAAGAACCGAACGCTTTTAAGAATTTTGAAGCTCTCTCAAGTGATTTTAAAATATTTTATGTATCTACTGCGATAAAATCGCGGTGTTGAAAATAAAATGTGCCAGTTCGCCTAAATCTCGGTATCGAAAATGTACGTACACGAGCAGGTGTTAATTCGTACTATATCCACAATTGTGGATTTTAATTAATTTTTGTGTATGTATCATGAACTCACACCTATGCACATCCATTTACAATATCACGGATTTAGCACGGATTTACACATCTATTGATACCTATACCACGATTTTTTCCACGTATTTATTTAATACGTAGCTTAATACATATGTAGTATGGGTTATATGTAGTTAGATGTACTAACGCTAATGTACGAATGATTTTGAAAAACGCCTGGATAGTCTCTCTCATATTTCTCTGAAAAATTATATATATTTACACGTTTATACATATAGTGTCTTATTAATAAATTATTTATGAGAACAATTGAAGATTAATTATACTATCAAAATTAATTATTAATTTTTGTAACTAATAGCAAGTTTACATATGTTTATTATACGTACGTAAATTTAAAGTTTCTATGTGCAATAACACTACCTCAGTAGGTACATGTTCTCATGATGGTTTCCATAGCTGGAAAAGTAGTATTCTAGGATATCGCCATTGCATAATATAGGGTATGATTAATGGTTAACATTGTTAACGTATAATACTACACTTGCTTTGAAATATTCTTTGACTAGTCAATTTTTTCTTCTGATTGATTAATCAAATGTTTTTATTTTGACTGCATCCCCTTTGTCATGAAATTATTATTATTAATTTTTTTTAAAGAAAAATGCTAGACTAATAAACATGATTGTTTATTAGTCTATCTGTAAGAATATTTAAAACTCATTATAAATATCAACTATTATAATTTATAATATTGTAAATTTATAATAATTTTAAATGATACAATAATTAATAAGTAATAAAATATAAATATATAAAAGTAATGAATAATAATAACAAATAATTAAAAATATATTAAAATTACAACATGATATATAAAGATACAAATTTTTACTAAAATTAAATGTAAGATTGTTTTAGTGGAAGAGATAATAATAATATCGTGCGTACACGAGGGAGTGACTTAAAGAGTTAAAAACGGAACATTCTTTTAATTGTACGTAAAATATATAACTCAATACATCTCTCGGTCTTCTACTTTCGATTATCGCGCGGTAAAACATCATTAATTGCGAGGTGATCAGCGTCAATCTGACAGCTCGAGGGCCAACGATTTTTCTCGAGATTTTCCGGTCGGGACGGGGCACGACCGGCAACAAAGACGTAATTTTGCAAATCCCTTGAGCGATATGGAACGTCCGCGCTCGCGCGCTTGCGTATGACTCCAAGTAGTTCCATTTATAAAGATATAACAGTGGCCAAATCCGCTTACTTCGCGATTCCGCTATGAGCTGCTATGAGCTACCCATGGTGGGCGAAAAGCTCCCTTAAGTGGTTATGGCGCTTTGGCTTTGTATCCAACGGCTTTCCGACGGCTCGGCTTAAGAACCAGAAATAAAGCTCCATTGGCCGCGGCCCGGGTTACGGGTACTCGATTTATGCAGAATGGAGCCGCGATCGAACTCGTGCTGGGAGACTGCAAGGATCGCGGTGATCCATCATCGATCGGCCATCGAGCCCCCTTGATGACGATGTTTCGCTACGCTCTCTAAAATTTTTAGAACAGAATGGCCTTTCATATGGAGCATCAAACTTCTCGCGTGACCCATTACTCTACGCTCGGGGAAGAAAATAGTTTTGGCAATTGTAATGTGATAATTCTGAAATTTAAGAACTCCTGCAACTAGTTTTGTAAAGTCAGAAGAAAATGAAATTAATATTGAGAACTATCAAGATATAATCTCGGTAATAAATCTAATAACTTGAAATGACTTTTTAGATTCGTAGCTGCAATATAAAATTGTTAGAGGAATTATATTGATGTACTTGGACGTAAAGCATTATTTTCTTAGATATTTACATGTAAACTATTAAATAAAATAACTATAATATATGTATAGTTAAACACACTTAATACAATATGATAGCTTATGTATGACGACATTAAATCAACCAATTTCTTTAATTGAATTGTTTACTTTCAAGTAAATAGCGTTCAAATTAACATGTGCACTTAGTAAATAATAACTATTAAATAATAAAATGTATTAAATTTGATCCAATTAAATCGGTTTACTTACATTATTTTAGTTAAATTAACGACATATTGAGTAAAGGCCGTGATGCGCGTGCGCGTGCGCTCTATAGAAATGATTAAAAATAATTCAAATTTGGTATAATTTGACATTATAATTTAAATATATATTCTTTTGATATCAACGTTGCCTTAGAATGACATTTTATACATACATATACAATTATACTTTATATTATTACAATTTTCTTAAAACATATATCTCTACTATTAATGATTAACATGTTAATATTAATTATATGTTAATACTATGATAATTGTAACGTTAGCATTTTTCTTTAATTTTCTAAAACTTTTGTTTTGCAATACTTTTTTTTCAATAAGTGTAGCATCATTGAAGTTATGTGAAAATAATAAATTAAACCAAAAACCTTTAACAAGATAGTGAATCTTATCAAATATTCTTTCCAAGAATTAACAAATTTTTTCGGAAAAGAACTATTAAATAGTTCTTTCAATTAAAATTCAATTAAAATTAGGGAAGGTACAAATAAAAAAGAATACGATAAATCCTTTTTTTTTTATTTCTTATACGATTTTTTGTATTGTGGAAAACAGACTTTCGAACACACCTGCGCTAGTTATTTCGAGTCTACGCAGGGGTGACGCACGCGTTTCGCCAACAACTAAATTTCGCGGGTACGAGACGATTGGGGGTGTACAGCCGGTGACTGCGTTAGTTATATCCTCTGTCTCGGACAGTCTTCCCCCGTTGTCCTCGGTAGTTCACAATGGCATTAAAATTACCGAGAAAATTCAATTCCCTGCTGGATACGTATCCCACGCTCGTGTAGCTATATAGCCTACGCTCGCGCGCTCGGCCATGCGCGAAGAAAAGCGAAAAATCATGGCGGACGGATGGCAATGTCAATCCGGAACGTCGAACGCGTTTAGGTAGGATAAAAGGTTTATTCTTTTATTACTGCATTAGAACGTTCCTTCTTACTTTCGCTAAAGAAGTTGAACAATTTAACT